ATAAAATACAGTATATGCAAGATTCTGCTTCAACGTCCTCTGCTAGTGCCCATTAGCAATATGTTGGTTGATGTTGATAGAAATCAGGCCACAATCTGGTACCCAAATCCCTGTCCCAAACCTTTTACTGATACTTTTTCAAAATCTTGTATCTGAAATAGGGTCAAGCATGAGCTTGAAATCTTTCTGCAACTGAAATATCTGTAGATATGCTGCTGGTTGCCATAGATTAGAATCACACACTTTTATCAAAAGCAAAAACTGTAATTTATATATAACAGTATTTATATATAGATACTATAAGATGCCTTGTACAGATAACTACTTATATCAAAACATTTATATCCTACTTCTCTTTAAAAACAATAGTACATAATCAATAACAATAGAATGAAAAACAACAACCCACATCTTTTAAAAGAGTGTCTTTGTAAACTAAGTCATAAATCTGGACATATATTTTCATTTTCAGATCTTAATAATTAAAACTAGGCTGTTATCTATCTCAATATTCCATCTGAGTAATGATTGTGTATGTGTGTGCATATACACATGAATCAGTTTTAGGTAAAAAAAATATCTTTCACCAAAGTATGCATGAATTATAATTACCCTCTCACTTTCTATATGCTTACTTAAAGGAAGGTACATGGGCTCTAATATTTCTCCCACGCTGATGTATTAATTCTTTGGATTTGTCTATAAATGTATTCATGATTGCTTCTATATAAGCTAAATAGACAAACATTTGTCCCTCATATTTTTTAAAATAAATAGAAATAGCACTGGTTAATAAGAATTTTAAAAAGTTTTAACACACACACACAATTTATTCCTTGGCAGTTTAATATCTATACTTCTCAAGACAAGAAGTCACACCAAATTCACATAAATGTATTTTGTTCTGGTTATTTGTTTGCTATATGGTAACAACAGTTGGATTAGTTACCCTAACCTTCCTTCCCTCATTTACTCTTCCGTTAAAGTTGCATGCTTTATTTAAATAATTGTAATGCTGCATATTCAACAATTCTCTCAGGAAGATTAATTTACCTTCTGCTAAGACTTCTTTGATATATTTTTTTTAAAACTTCACCATTCAATGAGTTGCATCTTCCATTTCCCTCTGACTCCCTCAAATAACTGTGAGAGTCATCTTGCAGACATGAAATAACTTCCAGATCATTTTATCACAGGAAAAACTCTGGCAATATTGTTCCTAATCCAAAGAACAGCCCTCTCTTCTTTCAAAATAACAACCCTGTAGTCTGGTCCTGATTACTCACTCACAGTGCAGAAACAGAAAGATTTTTCTAACTTTTTGGTTGAAGCTAGCAATAAACGGACCAGTCCATTACGGAAAAAAGAAAAGGGGATGCTTATTGCTTAAGGTGAGGCAGTACCATTTGTCTACATTTACCTAAGTAGCATGTAGTAATTTTAGTAGAACTGTTCAGAACATTGCTTCTAAATGTTCCTGCTGAAGCTAGGACCTTGGGGACTTGGTTTCCTTCTACTATCAAACAAAGCAAAGGATCAATTCTTCTCAAAGCAGATAAACTGTATTTTGTATGTTAATGAGTTGATATGTATTATAATATAAATCTAAATCTCTTCTGTTCACGTTAAAGAGTCCTTACATTTATAACTGATTTTTAAAAAGTGCCTTTAATTCACGGGTGTCAAACTGCTGGCCCATAGGCTGGATGCAACATAGCGAAACCGTGCCCATCCCATTGCTGTCATGATACGTTGCAACACGTCATGTGATGTTGTGAGTTTGACACCCCTACTTTAATTCAATTATCTTGGTAAGATTCCTATTAAGCTATATTGCAACATTATGTGAGCAGAACATTTAATAGCAAATACCTAATTAACATATTTCTCTATGTATACTGTGCATACTATGTTTATTGTGTAGATATAATTTGGGTTATTGCAACTGGTCTTTGAAAACTTTGTATGATGTATTTATTTTTATTAAGTATTTAATGCCAACTTTCCCTGGCAAGTAGTTAGCTCAACTTCATTACTAAATCGGCAATCTAAGTGGCTTAGCAACTAAGTTGAATTAATTGTAATTTCAGATTTGGCAGCTTAATTCTTTTTCAGTGAGATTTCATTCCTTAAGGGAAAAATACTGATATAATTCTAATTAGTCAAATTTTAGTAGAAAAGATAGATAGATATAAATGTAGTATGTAATATCTGTCAAGTATCTTTCCTGAACTGAAAACAAGTGATATAACTGGACAGCCATTGGTCTGAAATGGTATAGGGTTTCCTGCCTGAGCAGGGGGTTGAACTAGATGACCTCCAAGGTCTCTTCCAACTTTATTATTATTATTATTATTATTATTATTACTACTACTACTACTACTACTACTACTACTACTACTACTACTACTCCCCATGTGGTCTTAAAAAAAACAATTTTAAGTTCAAAGCTACTAAAAGAATCAGATACAGAATTCACCATCTACAGTGACTATAGCAGCTCCAAAGACAGTTTTGTGCATACAGGTAGTCCTCGATTTACAACAGTTCACTTAGTGACCGTTTGAAGTTACAACAGCACTAAAAAGTGATTTATGACCGTATTTCACATTTATGATCGTTGTGGCATCCCCATGGTCACGTGATTTACATTTGGATGGTTGGCAACTGACTTACATTTATGACAACTGCAGTGTCCCAGAGTCATGTGATCTCCTTTTGTGACCTTCTGAAAAGCAAAGTCAATGGGGAAACCAGATTCACTTAACAACCATGTTACTAATTTAAAAACTGCACTGATTCACTTAACAAATGTGCTGAGAAAAGTCTTAAAACGAGGCAAAATTCACTTAACAAATGTCTCACTTAGCAACATAGATTTTGGACTAAATTGTGGTGGTAAGTTGAGAACTACCTGTAATGTTGGCATTTGAACCCTTGCTCCTTCATGGGTACCCATGCTATCTGTGAGGGACAATGGCCTGGGATTGGATTCTTGAAAATGATAATGGACACAACTAAGACTGGCATATCTATAACTCCTTGTTCTCTTTCACACCCAAAACAGAAATCTGACCTAGCAGGTCTTATCTTGCACAAGATTATCTACTTGTTGCACAAAGTTAGACTGACAGATCAAGGTTCTTTTTTGGCAAAGAAATGGTTGTTTATAAAGAAAGTTTCTAATCCCCAGATTGTCAGAAGATGAGTCAGAAATAAACTTGTTGCTATGTTATGTACCTTAAAATAAACTCATTCTCTCTCTCTCTCTCTCTCTCTCTCTCTCTCTCTCTCTCTCTCTCTCTCTCTGTGTGTGTGTGTGTGTGTGTGTGTGTGTGTGTGTGTGATGTATGGAACATTTTAATAAGCATCTCTCAATTTTGTTCCACTCACCATGATGTTTGACTGTCTTGAATAAGGATATTCTGTTTCAATCAAAATTCCCTGTGATTCATTACCCTAATACTTATCTCTTTTTTGCTCCCCATCATGGCATTTTGCACAATAAATAAAAACTATTTTTGATGGCAGCTGCTTCCTGACCATTTTTGTAATGAAACAATGTTCTAGATAAACAAATCAGAATGTGAGCATCATAGAGGCCCAGAATTACAATGAAGTGAACTCAAGCCCTTCAGCTCCACTCCCAGGAAAAAAAGATTTGTTCCAAACATTTGGCCAAAGTTGATCCACACCCTTTATATTTATCTTTACAATTCCTTACAAAATTACAATTCTTTATACAAGACTTGGATCCAAATAAAGTAAGAAGTGACTCTTCCAAACTTTCCAGTTGTCAGATGATGGTATTTTCCAATATACCAAAAAAGGATAGACTATTTTTAATGGTGGCCCTTTGACTGGGGAATGTATTCCCAATGGAAACATAATTGACTTCTTTTCAACTTCAGGTTAAAAACTAGTTTATTTCTATTGACTGATGTATGTTTTATGACTTCTATACTGTTTTGGCATTTTAAAACATTTTGCTAAACATTTAAAACCTATTAAAATATACATTCACATTAAGTACTAAGAGTTAATCAATTTAAAAATGCAAATTATTTCAGCTGCCTTCCTCTACTTCTCAAAACAAAATTGTACATTTTCTGAAGTAAAGCAATTCTTGTTTGCATTATATTTAAAAGTACTATTATGAAATTTTTTTGGGTTAGTTATAGTCTCTATCCATAGAATTACTTCCTTACAAAATCTAGTGCTGCCCTCTGGTGTTTACTTCCTACTTTTATAGTACTCCTTACTATAAGTGAAATGAAATACTATATGTTTATAAAAAAACTTACTATGGAGTCTTAAATAATATATACCGAGGAAAGTTTTTTAAAATGCACAAAGTTAGACAAATACTTAAAATAATAAGTAGCCAAAAATTGAAAATATTCAAACATCATAAAATGTCACAAAGTATCTCCATTTTGCTGTAGTAAAGCCTCATTTATAAATTAATGGTAGAGTTTGGAGGAACAGGAATAGATGCTGCATTGCCCTACACAATAGTATTTTCTCCTTCTTCTTCTGCTCTATACTGAAAGATAAGTGTAATTTGGTAGTGGTTGCTTTTGTTAACTTTAAATCTTACTATATATTTTTGTATCACATAATTCAACCTAATTCAACCTACTAAACCTTATGAGGAAAAGCTGGACTGTTTATATCCAGATGACCAGTACAAGTTAATGAAGAGTTACTTCACTATAATCTTGTATTACTCAAGATTCTTATAGGCCATATATATAAGCACAAGCTATGCCAAAGATTTCTTCACTGTGTAAAGGCCTTGCTGCTCAGTGCTTCTGATGTCAAACAACATGTAGGTTTTCCCTCCAAAACATGAAGCCTGGTCATAGTCCATTTACATTAAATAATATGTGCCTTTTGTTCCTATATAACATAAAAATACACATAAATCTATAGATATACATACATTTGTGAAATACATATATAACAAATAGCTACACATAAAGTTGCATATTACTTACTTCTAGGACTTTCCCAGTGATGAATTGGTGGCATGCTTCACATTTGACCCCAAAGAGAACTTGATAGTCCTTTTCACAGTAAGGGGCACCATCTCTGAATGTAACCCACAAGATACAAATTAGCTTCACTAACACTCTATAGAATACACATTATTTTACGTCCATTTCCTTCGATGTCTTTGTATTTTGGGTTGAACACAACAAAGGTATTAATAATGGTGCATAATAGCATTAAAGGCAGCTTCTTAGATTTCTCATCAGCTATGTCTCATCCTGCACTTATTACTATTCAACATAAATACATTTTTCACAATCAGAGAATGCAAACATTAAGTGTTAAATTATGGCAAAAAAAATTCCAGGTTTAAATTTTTTTCTTCAGCTAGTAAACTCATTAAGTAGCCATCTCTTGACCTAATTTAGCCCCAAAGGACGTTGTAATAACAATATGACAGAGAAGGAACAATAGCAAGTAAATGCATGCCTTTGACAAGTTTGTTCTCAGCAATCAGAGAACAGAATATCTTACTACATGTGATGTCACATGGGGGATAACATAACACATGCGGGTGGGGGGGGGTTTCTCCATGGTTCAGATGATGCTTCCCTTACAGGAGTAAGTTTTGAAGGGCAAAGAAATTATTCATACCTGAATAAAGGACATATATTTTGAGTCCTCTTTGCTCTTTATAACAGTAAAGGATTTAAATGCCAGTTGTTTAAAAACCCTGTCAAATATTTTATTTTCTATGTGGACTTACTTGCTGATATATTCTCCAGTTAGAACCTTCGCACAGGCCTTGCACTTGAAGCACCCAAGATGCCACTGCTTGTCCAAAGCAAGCAAGGCTTGCCCGTTTTTTATATCTCTTCCACAGCCTGCACAATCTGCAAATAAACCAAGACATATATATCAGGTCACTCAATTTTACTGATCCATATTTACTTACTCCCAGATTAAGCCACCTGTTATCATTTTAAAGCAACTCAACAAAAGAAGCTTTCTGAATGTTATATTGATTCATAAATATATTTATATATATATTTATATACACGCACATTATACATATACAATACATACATTTTTCTGTGTGTTTGTATGTGTGTGTCCTTACAGAAGGGTCTTCTGTGAAAAGCAACTGACAGTTTTCTATCTATCATCTATGATGATTTTAATTTTATATGCTGGTTTAACAATAATAAATTATTTATTTTAATTTTCTATATAATTTCTGCAGTTTGATTTTGCTTTTCTACATTTTGCTTTTAATTTTGCATATAATTTCTAGAAATAAATACTAGGAGGTTAACAATCCTATTTTGCATCTTTCTCTCTCTACTAATTGATCTTTACACATTATCTCATTTCAATCCTCTAGGTGGCAGCAACATTCTAAATGTTTGTATAAAAATAAAATAAAAGGGAAACATTAAAACTACCCAACATTTTATTATAATAAAATTGTGATATTAAACAGTTTCTTTAAATAGATTTCAGTACAGAATCAAGGGACTTCCTTTTCAATTACAAAGCATTTCTTTTCCTCGCAAATGAAGACAATTCTTTTCCTATCTAATGAAAATAAGCGACCAGGAAAGTAAAAATGTAAATGTGTTATCTTTTAATATTTCATTTTCACAATTAATTAATATTTGCCTATTGCCCTGAGTTTTCTTGGAGGTTTCCTGTACAATCACCAGGATTTCAAGACCACAGGAAGTTGACTAGGTACCTTGAACTGCTGATATATTCCATTTAAAAAAATCAAATAATGGATCCAGAGCATTATGCTTAGCGCAAATGCACCAATATCAATGAGAATTAAATTAGACATGTCTAACATGCCTCAGAGAACCACTGTGGTATAATAGTTAAGATGTCTGTCTGGAAACCAGATCATTTGTGAGTTCTACTATCACTTTAGGCACAAAGCCAATTGGGTGATCTTGGGCCAGTCACTCTCACAGCCCTAAGGAAGCAGGCAATGGCAAGCTATTTATGAAATCTTGGCAAGAAAACTGCAGCAAGTAGTCCATTGTCTCTCTCACACCCACCTACCCACACATACGCTCACCCATACACACACACACATCTTGTCTCAGTGAATTCATTAAGTCTAATTATAAGCATTTCTAAATTTAATCCAATCAAGCTATAATTAATGTGGCACTAGATCTTGGATGTGTCAATATCTGGATATTGTTACACTCCATCTCCCATAATATCTGCCTATTGGCTATCCTGCCTGTTAATGCTCAGGAGTACAGCATCTGTTTTGCACTCAGAAAGTCCAAAATTAATTCCTTGGCATTTTAAGGGGGGGCTGGGAAAATTTCCATCCAAAACTTTAGAGAACCATTACCAGTTAATTAAGTCATAATCGAACCTGATAATTGACATAATCCAGTCAGATTCTGCTCCTACTAGAAGGGAGGCAGGCTCCCTACCTGTGGACCTACAAATAATCGTTGAATTATTTCTCTTAGGCCATAATCTTCTTGCATTTAAATGCTGTTTTTAGCAGAAAAAATGTCAGACATATTTCAAGTTGAGTTGGATGTACCCTTAGTCTTCATCAATTAGCACAGATCAGCTGTCCTCAAATGGTCTTGATTCACAATATAAGCTTTGAGTGATTTATCTTTTAACTACACAATTGCTCCAAGATAATTGCAACATTCCTAGTGCTCTCTTTCATATCAAATCAAGCAGCTATTCAATTGAATTCAAGTAGTCATTCAAAATAAAAAAAATTAAGATTTGTGGTGTTTAATTATAAAGCTTCTCTATGTTCTCAAAAAACATATTCACATTTAAAACAGGAAAAAATAATTAAATTTTAACAATTAGTCTGTTCTTTTCAAAAATCCAATTTTAAAAATTGCTTCAAAGGCATAGCAATCTTTCTTTTCAAATCTTCTGCATTATAAAATCTTTGAGAGGCACATTTATCTTGCTTCTAGAATAAATCTAAATGTTGTACCTCACAAGCAAGAAAATAAAGTACTCAAGAAGAATATATTACGATGCCACCTATAAATTGTCAAGAGGTTTTGAGCTTTCAAATGCATAATTTAATGGTATGATAAATATAAGAAGCAGAAGCAAGATGAAGGTCAGGGCTTAAAGTAGAGGCACAAGAGAATAGACAATCGTAATGATGCATGAATCTTGCTGCTTTTCCAAAGGGACTAATGCATCATGGGTATTTAAGAATATGCTTTTTTGTTATCTAGGATGAAGGTAATATGCTGCTTCAAAGAATGATCATAGACAACCAAACTGACATGTAACCATTGCTGTGGGACTACCAAAGTGCATGTTATATATACTGCCAATCCCTCAATTATAAAACTCTTTGAAAATAGAAACTGGCTTATAGTTCCTCTAAAGAAATCTGATCTTTGTTTTTATTTCTGGTGTTACATATGAACACCACAATGTATTTTTAAAAGTGCGTTGGTAACATAATTTTAAAATTACTAAACAACTGAAAGATTTAAATAAATTATGAAAATGTGTTAAATAACCTAAAGTGGAAAAGGTATTTTCAAACTTTCAGATTTTAGAGAACACTTTATTCATGAATACATCAATAATTGAGCAATATCCACTATAAGACCTTTGCATATTCTGCAGAATATGAGATGTGCTTTAGAGTGCATAGATCAGCTTCTATTAACAACTCTCTAAATCAATTGGGCCATTATCATCTAGAAACTGATATCTGACAAAGAAAGTGGATTCTATGCGCCCTTATTTATCAGCATTGGAAAGGTAAATAAATAGCCCCAACTCTTCAGTATTCTGCAGAATTAATGTTATTAGAAATTTATGAATGACGCATTCTTGATATTGATAGCAATAGATGATTATAATGAAATTTGACTATCTCATTCATTGAAATGCTCATTTAGAATAACTCGTAACAAATTTATTCAGTGTAGGATGAAGGCTGTTTACTGAAGATTAGGGAGCATTATCTACTATACCATTGCAGTAAGGTTTGGTAGACAGATGTTTATTTTCCCAGTAACAGAACGACTTCCCAGTAACAGAACGACTGGTCCAAATACACACAGCTGGATTCTGTGACTAAGGAAAGACTAGAATCTGGGTTCTCCTAACTCAGTTTGGCTCCTTAACAGTTACATAGCACTGGTTTCCATGTATGCAAATATACTGTGAATATATACCTTATGGCTTTTTATTTTATTTATTTTTACTTATTTACATCCTGCTTTTATTATTTTTATCAACAACTCAAGATGGCGACCATGCCCAATACTCCTTCTTATTGTTTTTCCCACAACAACCCTGTGAGGTGAGTTGGGCTGAGAGTGTGTGACTGGCCCAAGGTCACCCAGCTGACTTTCATGGCTACGGCAGGACTAGAACTCAGTCTCCTGGTTTCTAGCCTGCTACCTTAACCACTAGATCAGTGGTGGCGAACCTATGGCACGGGTGCCAGAGGCGGCACTCAAAGCCCTCTCTGTGGGCACGAGCGCCGTCGCCCCAGTTGTAGGCCAGCTGGGTTTTATAAAACCTTTTCGCTTTAGGCCTCTGCCGCCGTGTGCAAAAAAAAAAAAAAGGTTCAATCAATCAGTCAATTTCAACTTCTTGCGGGAAAAAAAAGATCTTGCAAAGTTGGAATTGATTGATTGAACTTTTTAGTCCCACCCAGTCTGCTGTTACCACCGCAGCCACGCCCATCCAATGGGCCACACCCATCCAATGGCCAGACACACCCGGCACCCGACGATGCATAAGTGGGTTTTGGATTGCAGTTTGGGCACTCGGTCTCTAAAAGATTTGCCATCACTGCACTAGATTAAACTGGCTCTCCTTTGTCTGTTTTCATTTCATTCTTGCTTTCTAAATCTGTATGCTGTTTATATTTTTTCTATTTGTTTTTCTATTCAAGTAATAAAAGTGCATACATACATGAACACTTTGCAAGGACTTCTCTGAACAATACAAGGCTGGACAATCAATATTTTAATCAGCTACCAGTCCTTAAAGCTTGTCTATCTATACCTCACTATTTGATAAGATCCAGTTTGGAAACTACTTTTAGAGTGGCCTTCTGCAGCCATGATCTTCAAATGTGTCCCATTTGCAGTTACCCAAATTCCAAATCAGCATGGTTCACATAAATCAACTTGAAAACATCAGGTTGGGGAAGGATGGTCTAAACAGTTTGATTTGTTCATCTGTTACCAAGATTGCAAAGTTTGCATTAACTAGAACCTAAATAAAGAGTTTCAAAAGATTCCACAGAAATATTTCCTTATGGCTTACACCAATTTCCTTTATATAATATAAATATAACTTTTTAAAATAAAATAGCAACTAGAAACAGTAACACTATGCTATAAAATAACAACAGGACAGAGACAAGGCAAGGCATGCTATATTTGAGCCCCTTCTAAGCTTTTATTCCCATTTCCCTTCTCTTTTTTATTTTTGTACAAGGGTGTATGTGAAAGAGGAGCAGAGAAATAACCTCCACATAGTTGGCAAGCAAAGAAAAGAGAATGGAACAGAAAGCCTGGGTGTGTCATGTAACTGACAAAAGTAAAGTAGTACAACCTGCAGATGTGCAATCACTTGCCAGAAATGATGTTAGCAGATGCAATCTTTTCAAAACAAACACATTAATGGACTGATTGTAAAGGGCACTAGCAAGAAATCTGAAACTTGAAGAAAATGAATATACACCTATATGCTGTAATAAAACCATGCTTATTGCCTAATTCTGGGTGTTGGCTTTTTCCCCAGCTCCTTTATGTAACTTTATGAACATTTTATGACATAATCAGATCCTAGCTGCTGAAAGTAAACTGCCTAGGAACTTAATGGTACAGCCTTCCAAATTTCACAGGATAAAACAACTGATTCATGTCAGAAGGAGGAACTTTTATGCCCAAATTCAGAAATCAACTGCAAATAAAAGCCGGGCCTGATCTCCAATAGGAATAACATCATATTTGCTTCCAACAACTGTTGTACCATTTCAAAAAAAAAAAAAAAAAAAAGGAAGACTCTGAGAGCTGTTAGTGAAGAATAACAGAAGTTTCTGGTAGGGATGCTCTAAGTTACAGACTTACATCTCTGTTGTGTTCCTTCTAAGGAGTATCTGTGCCAACAGAACAGCACAGTAAATAATAATATGATGAATTTTGCCTCTGCATTTCAGGCCACAAGGAGACCAAGACTAATAAAAATTGTTGCCAGGTAATGTTTTGGAGTTAATTCTTGAGACAGAGAGACGTGTGTGTGTGCCTGTGTACGCGTGTGCCTTTCTTAAAGGCCTTTCGATTTTCAATCAGTGAGCAAACGGGATAGTTTCCAAGATGATCCAAGCTTTGGATTACAACAATGACTCAGTGTTCTTTCTAAAAGGACAAAAAAAAACAACTCTGAATTTTCAGGCTAATGGACAGAAACAATACGACATTCTCATTTCCAAGGTTCTTTCACACTTGAGAGAAAAAAAGAACAAATTTACAAAAGCCATGTCATTTGCCCAGAAGCATATACGCGTCATAGAAGTTTCAAGGAAGAGAGTCAAAACAACTTTGCAGACATGTAATATATTACAAGGCTATGGGAAGATGGTATTTAAAAGGCAGCCTGATTTAACTCATTTCCGCTGAACTTGAAAAGATGTGCCATTTTCTAGGCCGTTTGTTGGTTGGGAAAAAGATATTGAGATTTGCTAACTAGAAACAATTTCCTGTGTCTCAAAGAAATATGGTATCAACATTTCCAGCATTTTATAACAAAATGCACAATATTCAAGCATGGAACCAACCATTCCAGCGAATCACCTCCTTTTGGATGTACAGTACTTATATGTCATTTGGCAAATTTGTAAGATTTCATTTATTTTAAAAAAAATGAAGGTGGACTTGGGCCATACAGGTAATCCTTGATTTACGGCCACAATTGGGATCAGGATTTCCATTGCTAGGCAGGGTGGTTAGATGAAATGTGCCTGATGTCAACTCTACAAATGAGTGTGGCTGCAGCCATTTTTCCTACTCATTTTCGGTTGCCAAGTAGAATGGAGGGAGGGGGTTGCCCAAGTGCTTCGTTAGTCTAAATAATCTTTTGTCCCGTGGGAACCAAGGTCATCGGCTGCCCCCGAGACTGCAGGCTGGGCGTTGCGTAAAAAGCCCGCCAAGAAGATGTATTGGGGAACGTAGTTGATTGCATAGTTATAGGGGTGGGGTTTTGTAACTTTGTATTGGGGAATTGTTACGTGGGTCTCCAGGGTTGGTTTCACTCTTGATCGTGCCGATACTTTGTAACCAATAAACATATTCTTTGAGGAATTTGCAAGCCTCGGAGATCTGCTTTATTTGTCTCTGTCTGTCGGAACCTTGACATCTGATTATACAACCTTTTTTGTAATGGTTGTTAAGCAAATCACTGTGATTATTAAGTGAATCATGTGGTTGTTAAGCGAATCCAGCTTTTCTCCTCCCCCCCCCATTGAGTTCGCTTGTCAGAAGGCAGCTGGAAAGGTCACAAATGGTCATCACATGACCCCGGGACATGGCAACTGTAAATACATGCTGATTGTCTGAATTCTCATCACATAACAAGATTGTAGGATGCTGCCACAGTTCTAAGTGCAAGACTTAAGCCAGCTCTCCAATCCATCTTTAATGAAATGCAACTTGAATCTGGCTTTTTCTCTTTAAGCTATCCCCTTTTTTAAACCAAAAAGACATATTGATATTATAGCAATAACATCACAGCAACTGTCCCCAAAACTGAATTAGATTTCAGCTTTGTAAGATTTCAATCTTACAAGCCTTTAGGGAATCCCATCAAAACATGAAAAAAAAGTTAACATTAATTCTACTTGATCCTTCTATAAGACAATGTTATATTCAAAGTTTCAGATGCTCTTTCAGTGATATTCTCCCCCAAATGAAGCCTCAGGCTCAAGACAGTTACCTAATATCTGACCATTTACAGCCCGAATGGACAAGAGGACTTCATTAAAATAATTTCATAGCAAAAGTTGTTTATATTCATAACACATGTAATATGTATCTCCTCATAGCACAGCAAACCTGTCCTCATTCTGTCAAAACTGCTCTATCTAAAGTTATAACTTTAGTTTTTGTTTGGACTCTATTAGAAGATGCTTTTGTGCCAGTACTGTGTTTTCTTAGGATTTCTGTACTGTTTTGTTGAAAGGAACTCTATTTATAATACAAACTGTTGCAGACAGATGTAATAAGAATGTAATGTAATGTGAGTTGTTTAATGAAAAGTTACTTAAGAATACCAAACTTTTGAATTTCTGATTTGTGATTTCTAAAATGAATGAAAGGCAAAACAAACATAACTCCATTTATTCTATTTTGGGTAACGCAATGGATAAATGTATCTGTTTTAATGTCTTCTCATAGGACATTTGATGTTACATTGCATTAATAACCACAATATTAAGTTCCCCATTACCCATGCCTTCGTGACAATTTCTATAAAAAAGAATTCTGCAATACTTATGTAAGTTCACCTTGTAATTTGGAATGATTATAGATAGGCAGAACTAATATAGAAAATGATGTGTGCTTCTTTAAGGAGTTTCCATGTGGGTGTATGTGTATGTGTGCATATGTGTGTGTTCAGAATAGACACTGTTTAAAGGAAGAAAAAACAACTGAAAGAAAACACAAACACTAGTAAAAGCAAGAAGTCAGCTCCATCTTTCAGAGAACAGCTCTAAAAATATGGGTACGAAATCTATTTGTTACATCCACTTAACATGCTTAAGTCTGTGTAATGTGTATGACAAAGAATGATGCAAGTGCACACATATAATCCCGGGATCATTACCTTTATCAATGAAATGGTTTATTTTAAAGATAATCAATTTTAATCAGTTGCTGTTAATTCATATGTTTGTATATATGTATGTATGTTCTGGCTTTATACACACACACACACACACACACACACACATATTAATGGGAAAAAATGTCAGCTGCAGCTGAACCAACTAGATCAGGGGTGTCAAACTCAATTTCATTGAGGGCCGCATCAGCATTGCAGTTGCCCTTGGGGGGGGTGGGGGGGGGTGGCCAGGGTGGGTGTGGCCTACTGGGTGGGTGTGTCTGGAGTGGGTGTGGCCTACTGGGTGGGCATGGCCAGCTCTACATCGTTCGCGTCAAGGGTGCCTGTGGGAGCCTGGGTAGGAGTGGGACAGATCTGAGGGTCTCTGGCAGAAGGGGGTGGGACTGGGGCAAGTGCCAAGGCATGATCCATTTCTTCATTCCTCACAAAGGGTGACACCTCCCCAGCATGCACCCAGGGGGCGGGACCGACACAGCAGGGGTTGGTTCCTCGCTGTTTCTGGACGGCCTTGTGAAGCTAAGACTGAATGCGTTTCAGCATAGATGGCCACTACAAAATTGTACATTGGTTCCCGGCCGGCCTGGGCCAGGGCCAAGGCAGTGGGGGACATTCCCTCACTGTTTCCAGGATGGCTTTGCGGGCCTCATGAAACCACTTTGTGGGCCGCATCCGGCCCCTGGGCCTTGTGTTTGACATGTCTGAACTAGATTAAGAAGGTAGAGAAGACAGTCTCTGAATGTATCTATAATTATTTTTGGGTGTATTTTGCCTTTCTGTTGGAGATTGACTTAATTCAGTTTTCCTTTCAGTTAATTTGTTGCATGTTTAAAGTTTTCCGTGCAAAGAAATATTTGTTGCATATTAAAACACACACAAAGACACACACACACACTTAGCTATTGAGGAAGTAAAATAGAACAAACATTAAATAAGCAAAAAGATCTGTGTAGAATCTGGATTCTAATATATTTAAAATAAAGTTGGAAAAAGAAAGAGCTTTTAGACCAGTTATAACAAAAGACAAATTTGGTTAATATTTTGAAAGTCCTTTTGCAAATTTGACATCTTCTCATCTAATATCTACACCTAATGTAATCCTAATCTTCTTTACTTCTCTTAAATATTTTCCTTACCAATTTTTTTAAAAGCAAGTAACTACCAAACATAAAGGTCTTATAAAAGGGTTTTACTTACTTTTGCTTATGAACAGAAAGGATATTAAAGCAATTACTTAAAACTCTGAAAATGTTGTAAATGCTATTTTAATACAAACCGTAATGCTTCTATATTTCCAGCAGGTCAAAATTAAAATAATATAACCTCCTATTTGTGTACAAAATAATTTGACCTATCTGAATAAAAAAGAACTACACTGGATCTACTTAGTTTCTCCAGATGCAGTTAAATTAAACAATAACAACAAAAAAATAAAAAAAGCAGCAGACTGCAGAAATAGGGGGAGACTATATCCAATTTCTAGAATGCAAACCCAACTTGTAGCCAAAGTTAGCACTGCACATTAGAATAAGGCAGCAGCAGAAAATAGAAATATAGCCCTCCAGACATTGGAGTACTTAGAAAAGATACAATACTTACTGCTGGAAGTGGAGAGTTCTTTTGGACTGGATACCATTGGTTGAGCACACATTTGACAGAGACAGTCTCTTCCATTAAAGGTAACCCGGTCTCCTGGAGGAAAAGGACGTCTGGGAAACAAAAGAGGCATTTTAAGGCAAGGCCATCTCTGGGGCTACATTGTCTTTTCTCAGCAACTTCCCGTTGTTGCAGCTGCTGTAAAATCAAGTCTCTTGCAGGAAAAAGGGCCGAAGCTTGTTCAAAATGCGGTATTGGCAAAGAAAGACATTTGGAGAAAATCCAAATACTAAATGTATCTCAATAAGGAAAAAATAATAATGATAGGAGAAAAAAAAACCTGAACAATACATTTTTATTTCAAAGGTTTGTTTGTTTTAAAAAGCCCAGGCCTATATAAGTGTTTTCATTAGGAAATGAAGCCTGCTCGTTGATAGTTTGAATGCTCAAATGAAAATCTTTAGAAATTTCTATTATTTTTTTCACCAAAAGTATATGCGATTAGATAGCTCATTTTTTTGGCAGTCAATGGAAGCAACAAATCCCAGAATTTAAGCAGTTCTTGGTGTTCTAAACAAGCAGAGAACAGGAATGCATCTACTGGGTGTTTTCATTACTCAGAGTAATGCTCAGCTACGTTTCTTTAGGAAAAGAAGGGTGAGTTGATTAAAAGTAGATACCATGGGAATGAACAGATCCTGCAACTACCACAAAAAATTAAATCAGAAATTATGGCATGAGGGAGTTTCAGCCTTCAACAAGAGCAACAAGATCCAGTTCTTCAGAAGGTAGACAACAGATAGGAATAAGAATATTTGGCTTGTAGCAAGTCAGATCAATGGTCCATCTAGCTGTCTGTTACACTGATGGATTGGCTAAAGCTCTGCAGAGTTTCAAAGTCTTTTTTTTCTCTACAGTGCTAGGCAGTGCTCTGTGGGAGGGTAAGGAGGATAATCATTCAAGTAAATTTAAATATGTGAAAGCATCACACAAATAAAAATACATTTTCCAAGGCACTATTTGTCAAAACATAACACCCAAAGATACTTTAATATATATTTTACTAAAATTACAGATAGAGAATGTAGTAAGAAAAAAGGGACATTCTGCCTCTAAAAATGTTTTTTTCCTCTAAAAGACTAATGGGAATCCCATAAACCTCCATAATCTTATGGAAATTTAGACAAAATTATCTTGACGGTTGACTATGCTGGGTAGGGATAATTTCCTGATCCTGACCACAGGAGAAACAGCCCCTAGAATCCAGTTATTTCCAAGATGTCTTTTATTAAATGCCAGTACTAGCTAAACAAGAATTACACCACTTAGCTTCCATGATCAGGTAAGTTTAGGTATATTCAAGTGTATCCAATCTTTATCCTTTTGCAAATGAGTAGCTAAAAAAGAAAACACCACAGTGAATTGTATGATCCCCTACCTCAGTTACATACATACATATATATAACTCAACATATCAATAAAAATCAACAATTTTTCTTTTTTGAATATGTTTTCTTTTTTCTCTAGGATTTATGTTCTCTAGCATCCATATAGATAAGGTGATAAAGAATGAGGAGGAGGAGGAGGAGAGGGGGAGGGAGGGGGAGAAGCAGAAGAAGCAGGAGGAAAAAGAGGAAGAAGAGGAGAAGAAGGAGAAGAAGAAGGAGAAGGAGAAGGAGAAGGAGAAGAAGAAGAAGAAGAAGAAGAAGAAGAAGAAGAAGAAGAAGAAGAAGAAGAAGAAGAAGAAGAAGAAGAAGAAGAAGAAGAAGAAGAAGAAGAAGAAGAAGAAGAAGAAGAAACAACTTTGTTCAGCATTAGTTGACTTACTTGCACATAGTGCAGGCAAAGCAGTTGGGATGATATGTTTTTCCCAGAGCTGTTACAACTTCTCCTTCCACAAACTCCCCACAGCCATTGCATCGGGTCCCATACATCCGCTGGTAATCCACAGTGCAAAGGTAATCACCATTCTTAATGAAAAAGCCTCCTTGAGCCAAATCACACCCACACACTGTGAAAATATAAAAAAACCAACCAAGAACAAATCAGTTTGAACATAGAAAAATACAACTATTTGTAACTGATAATGGAACACAGTTTGTCACCTGTGTTAGTTTTGGAAGCGTATGTAGTGAGGTTAGAAAAGGAAAAGAAGAAAATTAGAAGATGACAAAGAGGTCAGGGAATAATAATAAAAAATTAAGCAATAAACAGAATTTTGATGAACAAAGTAGGCATCAGGAAAGGCAACAAGATGGGTGGTGGAGACTAAACACCTTTCTAAGCAGAAAGCGTTAAAAATAAAAAGAAAACAATACAAAAGAAAAAAAAATCATAATGGATAAAAAGAACAGCAGACTATTTCTAAAGCCTGCAGCCATGACTAAATTAGCATAGGATAAAAAATGAAAATCAATTTTATTTATTTTCTTGCTGTAAAAATTTAAATTGAATGTATAGATACAGTGAATCTCCTCAGTGGTAGAGAAAGTTCTAACACATGAACTCTAAACTTAACAAGAGCATATATGATATTACCAACTTCTAAATATTTGTTTGTACAGTAACACTTTTGAACATCAATTGGAAAAAGTAAAACTAACTTAGATTTATTTTCTACTTTATTAGCTTTATCTACAAATAGCTTATGATCAAAATAAAAATAAAAATATGTAATTGCAAATTAATTTTAACATCCTATTGAAATTGCTCTACGTTTCCTCTCTTTCTTAATACTGATGGCAGAACAAGGTCAACAGAATTTTCATGGCTTAAAATCTAAGCAAACAAAGAAGTTGCCTTAGTTGAAATAAATTTATCTGGTTTTCAACCAGTCCCTTTAGTCTGACAGTTACTATTAAAATGTAACACTTTTCGACATTAATGTTAAGATGCCTGCTACATTTAAACTGACTGGTAGCACAGCTTCACATGGCAGGTTAACACAAAACAGTACCTTGAAATGTTGCTTATTTACATTTGGTTTAATATGCTAAGCAAACAAGGCCACTAAGATTTGCTCAGGAAGTCAAGATAGAAAAAAAAAATCCTGGTTCAGATATGACCCAAATCATAACTTATAGTGAATTTCTTGCTTTTTAGCCTGTTATATTTTTGCAATGGAATGACTGCTTTATATTCTACTCACTCCAGCACATGAGTCACAAATGCAGCATCTCAAGGTTAAAAGATCACACATTTGCAAGGTTTTTTTAAAAAAAATAAAACTTGATACATGATATAATCCTTAATTTAGATATTTCTGGAAACATTGCATGTGAAGCCAACATTATTCCATAAACAAACTCATAAATAAATAAAAAATTTAAGAAATAAATAAGAAATTTAAGAAATAAATAAGATGATTTTAAATAAATGCAGAGCAAAACACATTTCTGAATTTTTTTCTGGAGCATATTTAACCTTTCCACCTATTGTGGTACAGAAGAGAGTAACTTTCCAATGCACACTATGAAAGGATTGTATATTTCAAGTGGTTTACAACACATACATTTCCATTTGTCTCTGGATGCACTGTGCACAGATTTAGAATCACTGGGTATCTTTCTCTGAGATCTTCAACTGCTAAACAAAGGGTCTCCTCTCAGGATTGCAGGACCAACTCTAAGAATGCTCCAAGAATAGCATTCACGAGTTAATGTACCTTTCAGATGTAAACAACTCTCTCACACACAGAAATTGTATACACACTCTACATTTTTTTAATGTCCTGCCTCCCCACTGACATAATGCATACTACTTCAACATTAGAGATGAAAAATCTAACAAAATGATAAAAATTTGTGTATCAAATGTGGCTCAAAATTTGGTTTAACAAAAAATGAAATAAATTAAACAGCATGGTTATACACTGAAAATGTAAAAAACGTTTGGTATATAGTATTCAAACTATTATCAACCTATGATTTGTACTCAAGACAATTTCAAGAACACCATGAACATAAACATCTAGTTCTAATAAGTAAATATAGTAATTTGAATCAAACTTTTGTACAACAAAAACATTTGACAATTTGTAGCTCAAAGCCTAAATATAAACTCTGTTCAGTGATATATCACGTGTTTTAATTGTCTATAAACAAAGATCCCAGATACAATCAATTCCACCTCTTCTTAGTAGGCATGGGACCATTCCTATCTTGATACTGAGGAAACTTTCTGTCAGAATGATGATCTGACTAAAAACAAAGTTGTGTCCTATGAATTTAATCTATTATTTTGGACTACATTTGAAAAGATCGTTTGAATTGCTCTGCATATTTGCTGAGTTCATTACAGTAGGAAAAAATAGCTATCCACATGGAAATAAGAGATGCATACTACTAGGAATGTATTTTCCTCAAATCTCCTGAGCAAGCAGCAAAATGCTATAAATGCTATATTTATATCATATCACTATGTTACATTATATTATCAATGGCAGCATTATCCCTATCACAGTTACAAGCATATATAAAAGACATATGAAACTCGTGATGTCACATGACATCACGCAACATATCGGGACAGTTTTGCCATTGTCAGCAATGGGGTGGGCGCGGCTTCCGCATGATGCGTCTGGCCTGCGGGCCGGCAGTTTGACACCCCTGATATATAACAAATAACTTGAAAAAATGATAATTTAAAAACTGCAATAAAATTAATAAAAGAACTATCCATTTCTAATTTCCAATTCACCCACAGCACTATTATTTTTGGATTACTTAAAATGACCATTCTTCAATGTATGGTCTCTTCTCAGTTTTAATGACATAATTTTTACTGAATATTATGGGCCTCTCATTGAAAAAAAACCAAGCTCCTAAAAAGGCTATTATTGTATAAAAATGAAATTAAATTAAGATTTACATATGCATCATCAGTGGAAGAACAATAATGTACATTAACCTTTCAGATGTAAACAACTCTCTCACAGAGATAAATTGTATACACACAATTTCTTACCAAGGCCTATTACATATGACCTTCTTTCTGGTCATAAAACATTCACTCAAGATATGTCTTCCTGAAAGTCAGTCCTATGGTGAAAATCACAGCATGAAAGAAAGCTATATTGGGACATATAAAGTAGGCAGGTCATGTTACACTAAGGACAAGCAACCTTGTTTAACTGATTTTTTTTTAATAATTTGGAATTATGCAAATAGAAAACCCAAACCCAATAAACAATATCCTAGGCTAGGGCTCAAAAGGTTAAAAATAGTGGGTGGATCAAAAGAAAAAAGAAAAGAAAAGCAAATTTTTGCTGAGTATTTTCTTCCTTCCTCACATGAACCCAATAGCTTGAATGGTAATCAAAATAAATAGCAGGAGCAAATATTGTTATTTGGGGGTAATGGTCTCCAAAATGTAGACTATGATGTAGTGGTTAAGGGAGTTGGACTATGACTGGCAGGACTGAATTCGTTTTCAGCCATGAAAAAATAATGGACTATATGGATAAGTTTGGAGAACAACGGGAAGCCTAGGAAAAAAATCTGACAAGAGAAACAGGAGTTGCCAATGGATTAACAGTCAAAGAAGAAATACTGGAAGGACCCACTAAATGTTCAGGTGGTTAAAAGCAATGGCAGATAGTTTGTGCCTTCAGACTTGCAAGATTCTGTTAATGTTGCCTTATAAATAAAATAAAATTGACTCATATAGGCACGATTCCCATCTCATTTACCTGGAGGTTTCCTATCTGATTTAGGGGAGGTGCTCACTTTGTTTTTTTCCTGAGATATAACAATAATCAAATTCAGTGTCTTTTTCTGATATGTTAACTGAACTACCTATCCTTAAAGTAAATGTTGTTTTATCATTATTCAGTTGTTGTTGGAATACTGAAATTCAGTCACTCTAAGAATTTTTAATGGCAAATGAGTAGTTTTGAGGGGAAGAAAACAATTGTATGTATATGGTTAATTTGAAAGCAGAGATAATTTTAAATTATGGAAGTAACAGCAAGAAACAAAAAGGCTGATGCTGAAAACTGCTCTCAAATGATAATTTGTCATTTGTCATGAATACTATATATTCAATTTTATGACGTTCTTCAAAACAACCAAAGTTTTGTATACTTCAACACATAAACAGAATCAGGAGGACACGATTTTAGGTAACAGAAAGAAGTAATTGAAATGAATGTGTAATTTCTTAACTATTGACACAGCCAATCAAGAAAGCAGCCGAAAACATCCTCCAAAACATTTTGGAATCAGGTAACTTTCAGTCTGAGATCTACACAGATTGAATATAAGAATATAGTCATAATTGCAACTGCTTTACATAAACACCTTTCCAACATAACAAATCTCAGAGCATTTAAAAAACACTATCTCCATACAGGGGTGGTGGTAGTAAAGACAGGACTGTGAACCGTGTCAGTTTTCATCTTTATACCTGTCTGTTCTGCAACTTTTATGCCAAACAAACCAGACGCCAAAACAGATAGAAGAGTCCAGAGGCAGTACTGCAAAAAGTCTAGTCTGTTTAATCAGCTTCACTAAACTTAAATGAAAGGACAGATACTTCCATTCTATCTGACAGTAAGATGAGATCTTAGAGAAGAAGAATTATGCATAATTCATGACAAATAAAACTAATGGAAAAAGAATGCAAGAATAGGTGATATATTTTGCAGAAGCTTTCTCACGTTAAACCAAATTTAAAAAAATCTCACAATTAAATGATCAAAGTTGATCTACTAGTGAGCAGGGAAGGAATATATGAGGCACTGATGGCCTGATGAGTTTGAGAAGGCAAAGGTCTTATAGTCACAGCAGCTACACCAAACTTTAGGTTTCTGAATTTTTATTCAATACAATCAAGTAAGTCACTTAGAGGATTATGTTGCTATACAAAACAAGGGCATTCAGTTCATATTTCTTGAGTAAAATATTGCTGATTAAAATACTAAATTTAATAGATTTTAAACTCTTAACAATTTTAAGTGTCAAGGTTTACATATTCACAGAGGATATAGACCGACCAGATTCTAGTGGCTCA